TCTTTTTTTTTTTTTTTTCTGCTGCACTGTGCAGCCTCAGGGACCTAAGTTCCCTGACCAGAAATCAAACCTGTGGCCCCTCTATGTGAGCACAGAGTCTTAATCACTGGACCACCAGGGAAGAACCAGGGAGAGCTCATTTTAGAGCACTTTTTAATTTAACCAGTTATATATATATATATTAACATTTTTTCTTTTCCATTATGGTTTTTAAATATTTTTATTTTTTTAATGCCTACTTTTTATTGACTACAAGATATTTGAAAATATTTTTGAGCCTAATATAATAACAAATTTGACAAACCAAATATCCTATCCACTCTGGTTTATTACAGGATATTGAATACAGTTCCTTGTGCTATGAAATAGGACCTTGCTGCTTATCCATTCTGTATATAACAGTTTGCATCTGCAAATCCCAAACTCCTAGTTCATTCCCCCTGCCACCTTGGCAAACACAATTTTGTTTTCTATATCTGTGAGTCTGTTTCTGTTTCATAGGAGATAAGTTTGGAAAAGACCCTGAGGCTGGGAAAGATTGAGGGCAGGAGAAGGGGGCGACAGAGGATGAGATGGTTGGATGGCGTCACCAACTCGATGGACATGAGTTTGAGCAAGCCAGGACTGGGAGACCTGGCTTGCTGCAGTCAATGGGTTCGCAAAGAGTCAGACACAACTTGGTGACAACGACAGTAACAACAAGATAAGTTTATTTGGCTTTCCTGGTGGTTTAGCTGGTAAAGAATCTGCCTGCGAAGCGGGAGACCTGGGTTTGATTCCTGGGTTGGGAAGATCCCCTGGAGAAGGGAACGGCTACCCACTCCAGTAATCTGGCCTGGAGAATTTCATGAACTGTAAAGTCCGTGGAGTTGCCAAGAGTCCGACACAACTGAGCGACTTTCACTTCAAGTTTATTTGTGTCCTCTTTTAGATTCTACATATAAGTGATATTGTATGGTAGTTGTCTCTCTTTTCAGATCTACTTCACTTAGTATGGTTATCTCTAAGTCTATATATGTAGATGCAAATAGCTTTATTTCATTTGTTTTTATGACTGAGTAATTTTTGTGAAAAAAAGTGTTAATTAGGGCTTCCCTGGTGGTTCAGGCGGTAAAGAAAAAGTGTTAGTCACTCAGTTGTGTCTGACTCTATATGACTCAAAAGACTGTAGCCTGCCAGGCTCCTCTGTCCTTGGTTTTCTCCAGGCAAGACTACTGGCATGGGTAGCCATTCCCTTCTCCAGGGGAGTAATTTTCATATATATATGAAAATGCCACACCACATCGTCCATTTGTTAATGGACATTTAGGCTGCTTCCATGTCTTGGCTACTGTGGATAGAGCTTCTGTGAACACAGGGGGTGCATGTATCTTTCTGAATTACAGTTTTGTCTGGATATGTGGTTTGTGGGTCATATGGCAATTCTTTTTCAAGTTTTTTTGAGGAAACGCCATACTGTTTTCCATGGTGGCTGCACCAATTTGCATTCCCACCAACAGTGTAGGAGAGTTGGTTCCCTTTTCTCTACACCCTCTTTAACATTTGTTATTTTTAATGATGGCCTGGTGTGAGATGGTACTTTTCAGACTGGTGTGAGATGGTACTTCATTGTCATTTTGATTTGCATTTCTCTAATATTTGATTTGCATTCTCTAGATTTGATTTGCATTTCTCTAATAATTACTGATGTTGAGCACCTTTTCACATGGCTGTTGGCCATCTGTATATCTTCTTTGGAGAAAAGTCTATTTAGATCATCTGCCTATTTTTAAATTGGTTTTGTTGTCTTTGTGGAGGTTTTGTTGTTGTTGTTATTGAGTTGTATGAGCTGTTTGCGAATTTTGGAAATTTAGCCCTTGTTGGTTGCATCGTTTGCAAATATTTTCTCCCAGTCCATAGGTTGTCTTTTCAGCTCATTTATAGTTTGCTTTGCTGTGCAAAAGCTTTATAAGTTTGATTAGGTCCCATTTGTTTATTTTTGCTTTTATTTCTATTCCCTTGGGAGACTGACTGGTATGATTTATGTCAGAAAATATTCTCTTCTAGGAGTTTTATGATGCCATGCTTTCTGTCTTTAAGTCTATGTCTTAATGCTTTAAGTCTTCAAGCCATTTTGAGTCTTTGCGTATGGTATGAGAGTGTGTTCTGACTTCGTTGATTTACATGCAGCTGTCCAGCTTTCTCAACACCGGTTGCTAAAGAGACTCATTTCCCCATTGTATATTCATGCTTCCTTTGTCAAAGATTAACTGACTGTAGGTGTGTGGGTTTACTTCTGAACTCTCTGTTCTATTCATCCATCTGTCTGTTTTTGTGCCAATCCCACACCATTTTGATCGCTCTAAGTTTGTAGTATTGTCTGAAGTCTGGGAGGGTTATGCCTCCTGCCTTGTTCTTTTTCCTCAGGATTGCTTTGGCAATTCTGTCTTTTATGGTTCCAAATTAATTTTAGGATTATTTGTTCTAGTTCTGTGAAAAACATCATGGGTAATTTGACCATGAGTCACATTAAATCTATAGATTTCTTTGGGTAGTATGTCCCTTTTAACAATATTAACTTCTCCAATCAAAGAGTATGGGATATTTTTTCATTTCTTTAAAACCTTCAATTTTCTTAACACTTTATAGTTCTCAGCTTATGTCTTTCACCTCCTTGGTCAGGCTTACTCATAAGTATTTTTACAATTTATTTATATATTTTTGATGCAATTTTAAAAGGGTTTTTTTTTTTTTTTTTTTTACTTTTCCTTTCTGAATTTCATTGTTAAAGAAATGCAACTGATTTACCCAGTTTTATATTGAGAGACACTAAAGTTGCTTCCAATCTGATTTAGGAATAATGTTAGATTCGCTTTATACCTGTCATTTCTAGCATGTGTGAGAGTACCTATAGGATAATAAATTTCTTGAAGTGGAATGACCCGCTGTTACATGAATAGGTATGTGCTTTTAAACCTTGGTGTTTTGAAAACTTGCTCTACTGGAGGTTGTATCCATCTGTACTGTTCTACAAATGTACATGTTGGATATTCCATGGTAAAAGTAGGTGTGGTCACTTAGGACTGAGGCTTGGGAGGACAACATTTATTATACCGACAGATCTCAGAGTAGAGGTGACCACATGCCACTCGGGGCTACAGGGGAAGCACCATATTCTGGCAGAACACAGGAGCAAGGGAAAGGTCTAGGTTAAGGTCTTTATTGGAGTTTGTTTGGGAAAAGCAAGGTAGGGGAGAATAAACAATTTAGGATTGGCTAGTCTGAACAATGGGGGGTCCCTGATAGCTCAGTTGGTAAAGAATCTGCCTGCGATGCAGAAGACCCTGGTTTGATTCCTGGGTCGGGAAGATCTGCTGGAGAAGGGACAGGCTACCCACTCCAATATTCTTGGATTTCGCTTGTGGCTCAGCTGGTAAAGAATCCATCTGCAATGCGGGAGACCTACGTTTGATCACTGGGTTGGGAAGATTCCCTGGATAAGGGAAATCACTCTGGCCTGGAGAATTCCTTGGACCATATAGTTCATGGGGTTGCAGAGTTGGACACAACTGAGTGACTTTCACTCACTCACTTAGTCTGAACAATTCCAGTGGACTTTGAGCTATAGAAGTGGTCTCTAGATGCCTGGGGGTCTAAGGCAGAGGAAGGCAGGTCTAAGGCCCTGGGATGCCTTAGGGCAGAGGAATACAGTACTGGTGAGTGAGAATGAGATAAAGAGGTGGCTGGGGCAATAGACGTGGGATTGGCTGCTGCCTATGTGAAAGACGTGGTCCTGGGCAAGCCCTTTGTTATAAGGGCTAATCCTGGAAGAGGCAGTCTCTCCAGCCAGCAAACTTTTTAAGATGTAGGAACATAAGATACAGAGAGAAAAAAATTATTGCATAGGCTTTAATTAACAGCATAGAAGATCACCTGTTTTCTCCCAACTTCACCAACACTAACAAACTGATGTTTGGTAATTTGGTGAAAAATGACAGCCAGTTGTAATTTTGAGTCATCTATATTTCTTTTTTCCCTCCTTTTCTGCTACTATTTTTCTCATTCATTCCCTAAAAATATTAAGTGCTTACAACAGGCCATGTACTTATGATGTGTGAACAAAATAGACAAGACCCTTGCCCTCAGGGAGCTTACATATCAATAATTGTATATATAGGGCCCATTAGGGAGAAAACTACACAACTTCAGAGAGACATAAAAAAACTAACTGAAAAGACAGTGTTGATAGATAAGAATCAATGTCAGAAACAATGGTGGCAATTATTACCAACTCAATAGGTTGTGGTATGGGACAAGTTTTTTGGGGGACATGCAAAGATGGCAACTTGAAATAATGAGTAGGAGCATTTTGAAACAGCAAAGTAGTGTATGACGGGTATCTGCTTTACCGGGTGTTAAAACATACTATGAAAACTTAATAATGCCATCTGTGTGGTACAGGTACAATAACAGAGAACTAGAAACTAACTCTAGTTTAAATATGATGTACCTGTGTGTAAATAAGTACCACTACTTTGAAACGCTGGGCTGGAGGAAGCACAAGCTGGAATCAAGATTGCTGGGAGAAAATATCACTAACCTCAGATATGCAGATGACACCACCCTTATGGCAGAAAGTGAAGAAGAACTAAAGAGCCTCTTGATGAAACTGAAAGAAGAGAGTGAAAAAGTTGGCTTAAAGCTCAACATTGAGAAAACTAAGATCATGGCATCTGGTCCCATCACTTCATGGTAAATAGATGGAGAAACAGTGGAAACAGTGGTAGATTTTATTTTTGGGGGCTCCAAAATCACTGCAGATGGTGATTGCAGCCTTGAAATTAAGACACTTACTCCTTGGAAGGAAAAGTCATGACCAACCTAGATAGCATATTAAAAAGCAGAGATATTACTTTGCCAACAAATGTCCGTCTAGTCAAGTCTATGGTTTCTTTGGTAGTCATGTATGAATGTGAGAGTTGGACTGTGAAGAAAGCTGAGCGTCAAAGAATTGATGCTTTTCAACTGTGGTGTTGGAGAAGACTCTTGAGAGTCCCTTGGTCTACAAGGAGATCCAACCAGTCCATCCTAAAGATCAGTCCTGAATGTTCATTGGAAGGAATGATGTTAAAGCTGAAACCGCAATACTTTGGCCACCTGATGTGAAGAGCTAACTCATTTGAAAAGACCCTGATGCTGGGAAAGATTGAAGGTGGGAAGAGAAGGGGACGACAGAGAATGAGATGGTTGAATGGCATCACCGACTCAATGGACATGAGTTTGGGTAAATTCTGGGAGTTGGTGATGGACAGGGAGGCCTGGCGTGCTCCAGTCCATGGGGTGGCAGAGTTGGACATGACTGAGCGACTGAACTGAACTTTCATTATAGTTTTTCAGTACTTAGAATATTTGGGGGACTTCCCTGGTCATCCGGGCTTCCCTTGTGGCTCAGTTGGTAAATAATCTGCCTGCACTGTGGGAAACGCATGTTTGATCCCTGGGTTCGGAAGATCCCTTGGAGAAGGGAAAGGCTACCCACTCCAGTATTCTGGCCTGGAGAATTTCATGGACTAAGTCCATGGGGTCGCAACGAGTTGGACATGACTGAGTGACTTTCACCTTCACCTCCCCTGGTCATGCAGTGGTTAAGATTCTGCTCCCAGTGCAGGGGACCTGGGTTCGATCCCTTGTCGGGAAACGAAGACCCCACGTGCCACAACTACGGAGCCTGTACGCTGCAACCCCTCAGCCCATGCTCCAGAGCTTGAGCACCACTAGAGAAGCCTGCGTGCCGGGATGGGTCCAGTGTCCTAAGGGTTATCCACATGCACCCAGTGGTAAAAAGCTCAGGGGGAAAACACCCCACAGAGGCAACAGGGCAAGAGTGTTGGGACTTTTTAAACACCTCTCTCTATATATATAATAAAAATACATTGATTTTATAATCTCCCTATATATATATACACACACACAGAAGGGCTTCCCAGGTGGTGCAGTGATAAGAGAATCCACCCAACAGCGCAGAAGACACAGGACGCAGAAGATGTGGGTCAGGAAGATCTGCTGGAGAAGGAAATGGCAACCCACGCTAGTATTCTTGCCTGGAAAATCGCATGGGCAGAGCAGCCTGGTGGGCTGCTGTCCATGGGGTCACAGGGTTGGACATTACTGAACTTTTGCATATGCATATATATAGATAAGTATATGCAAAATAATATAAGAGAAAGGTAATGTTAGAAAAGGTATCAAGTATTTAACTTCTGCAAAAATTGAGGAAGTTAAAGCTGGTGTATTTTCTACTTATTCTTTCAAGGCACATAGAAAAGTATTATTTTTCACAGTTTGATTTACTAAAATTGTCATGTTTGTCAAGTCTTTCCTGAGCAATGCTTAAAACCAGTCTAAGGCAAACTGACCTTTAAACTTGGGAATACTGTCATCTTAACAAAGGTAAAGGAGATAATGAATGCATCATAGAGAAACACTTCACAGAATAAGGTGTGGTTGTGAAAATGTCTTTAAATTTGCATATCTTATATAAGCTAAATATATGGGTAAAACATAGCAGTATTCCATTTATGGTCTTATTATCTTTTCCAATTGAGGAAAGCCTAGCACCAAAACACACTGCTTATTAGCTAGATGACAAATGGACTTCCAGAATGTACTTCTCCATAATGCAATACATTCGTGAAATACTCAAATAAGTACACTAAACAAATACAAGTCTCCAAATACTCTCTCAGCAACACTAAGTTGACACTGATCAATATTAGAAGAAAAAGTAAAAACTATTTGACTTTCGTAAGTTTTTAATAAGCTCTAATTTTCTTACATGTACACTAGTAACCTTAAAAAGACAAATATTTACTGCCAAATGTTAACTACTGTACAACTTATAAAAAATATAATCTTAAGAATTTGGAATAATAAAGGGAAGGTACCTACTTCAAATGGATTAAATAAGAAAGTTCCACTTTTTAAGAAATTTAACCAGGAAATGGGAAATTTCCAATCTGCCTAAAGAAACACCAAAACTTTTCACTGAAGTCAGAGACCTTACTGTTTTTGTTCAAGACTTCATCTACAGAGTTTTAAATAAACCCTAAAAAATATTTTCCAGTACATATAAGGCCGGTGCAGAGAATGCATGACTAGGGAAAACGATTCCGTTTGAGTGAGAAGTTGTGAAGAACAGAGACGTATCTTGTTCACCATTACACCCCCAGTTCCTAGCACAGTGCCTGGCTCAAGGTGAAAATGCCGAGCAAAGGTTGTCGCTTTGCGCTGAACCAGGCAGATACACCTATCTTCCTTTGGTCCGATTTTCATTCCCTATTAACCACTACCTGAGCTACAGTCCTGGTTCTTGGTCCTTGACCTTAAGTTGAAAAAATAAGGAAGATATGCATATACTTTCTACATCAGCCTTTCTGACAGGATCTTCAGAATTGAATCATCATGGGCTATGAATCTTCTCTTATGTGGTATAATTCTTATTTTTTGGATAATATCAGTGTGCAAAGGTAATTCATTTTCAGTGCAGTACAAATATGTTCATAAGAGGAAGAATGGGACAAACGTTTTAAATAACAGATACATAGCATCTTATATTATGACATAGTTACCAGTTTTTAGACACTGAAGATAATACACTGTATTACAATGCAATGTGGTTGGCTTCCATTTTAGGAACAAAAATCAATTTCACATGAAAAAAGATTTATTTTAAATTCACATAAAATACATTCAGAGTAAGTCTAAATTTTTATCACTTAAATAATGTAAAACAAGCACAGAGGAGCTTTTAAAGATGTACAGTCTCCATTATGTCCAAAAAGCACACATTAAAAGCTTTCTTATAATTATTGATCATCACCTCGTTGCCTTAAATTTCTAGACTTCCCATTTTCAATTCTTCTCTTTTTGAAGACTGGGGCCACTCCGTCTGCCACGACTCCAAGAGAAGTGACTGTTTTTTCTTTAAAAACCAGTTGAGGTTCCCCAGCAGCATCAGCCTCTGAAGTTGATACATATTCATTTTCAGTGCTTGGAAGTTCCAAATCTACCTCCTCACTGGAACAGAAAGAAAAAAATAAAACCACCATTTGACAGTGTAAAATAAACTTTTACATAATATATGAGTTCACCAAAACCTCAAAGTCATCTTTCTAATGATAATACTGGAAATTAGAAGCTGGTCATTTTGGAGGTGATTATTTTAAAATACCGATTTTATAATATTACTTAAGATACTGAGCATCCGTATAGGTGGACACACAAGGAAAAATCCTTTCTATTGTTTTGTTCCCATTGGGTATATCATTGAAGGAAATGCTTGTACTTATATATGAGAATATATATAAATGAGAAGTGTCTATGAAAAGGGATTTTGCCATGGACTGAGAAGGATTCTGAAGGCTTTCACAGCACACAATGAAAACCATGGAATCTCTATGTCCTGATGTAGTAGGACTATCTACTTGGCTGTTATAAATAATCAGAGGATTAGTCCAGAGATCAGTACCCTATTAATATGAGTCTATCATAGTCTCTACCCTCGACATAGTCAACTGGTCTGTGAAAGAGCATTAAGTCACACCACAGCCATTTGTCCCATCCATGAGCTTTTTGAACATGGACTAGGAAAACCATTATGTTTACCCCGTAGTAGCTAAGCATATAAAACCTGTTGGGAATCATACATTCTCCTACTTAGAGAAAGGAGTTCTGTAGAGATAAAGAGAATAAGGCCTGCAAAGAAAAGCAGGATGGGAGATGGAGAATCCTGCCAATGTTTCAGGCCTGGTTCCAGTTATCTGTGAGGCCCAGCCCAATTCCTGCCTCCCCTGCAGTTTTTAGGGAGAACCTTTCTGGGAATTTTTGGACTAATAACCTTCTTCCTTTCTTTTTTTCTTGTGAGGATCTTAGTTCTCCAACCAGGGATTGAACCCATGCTCCCTGCAGTGGAATTCTGGAGTCTTTAACAACTGAACTGCCAAGGAAGTTCCATTAACCTCTTCTTAAAATTTAAGGTAACTCAAGTTTTTCACTTGAAACCAAAAGACTACCTGGTCAGCATGAAAGGAAGAGTGATGACAAGAGAGAAAAAGGAATAAAAAGGTAAATGGATGATTTAAATGTCAGAAGTCTCAGATATCAAGAGTTGAGAACCCCCCATCTAAGAAGAGTGAAGATTAGTAAAGATCACACCCCCCAATCTCTGAAGAACCCGTGTAATGTAGTCATTCATCTTGATCTTTGGAAACAGAGGAAAACCTTTCCCAAGGGCCAGGAGAAGTCTGAAAGGTTATGGGAGATCTAGAGTAGTAGTTATTCTTTTTCTTTTTGGCCACACCACATGGCATTTGGGATCCTTTGTTCCTTGACCAGGAATTGAACCAGCATCCCCAGCATTGGAAGCACGGAGGCTAACCACTGGACGGTTAGGCAAGTTCCTCAAGTAGCAGCTGTTCTAACAGGAGCATCCACACTGAATGTGTACCATAAAGCAGACTATGACAAGGCACCTGGAGTGGAAATGCTCTTTTGGCTTTTCGAGTGTCTTTTTTAGAACTAGAACACCTTAAATTTTCTTTTTTTTCCTCTTTTGGAAACAACCTCTTTCTTCCTCTCTGAGTTTTGAGCTTAATTCAATTCACGTCCAGTCAGAATTCACAGTGGTTAGTTCAGGAATGGGAACTGGGTATCTGATGAAAGCTAAACAGGGCCGCTTCTGGAACTGGTAAAGCAGCACTTCTTTATCGCTGGAATCTTTGCTGTTATGAGTCGAAAGCTTTGCTATCAAGTGGGGAGATCCTGCCTGAGAAAGGCAGGCAAGTCAGAGGAAAGCAGAGACAAAAGCTGGAGACCTTCACAGTGATTTCTCATCAACTACGGCTCTTGATAACTGCAGAGACGTGATTTTTATGTGTTTGCTTAGAATTTAAATTTAATATATGCTCTTCCATTCAATTATCTTAAAAGTAACCAGTTTGCTTCCCTCTCACATAGACTGTGCGGAGAGGTCCACAGTGACAGTACTGAGAGCTTTTCATGGTCCATTCTATATACACGTGGATAAACACACAGGCTTAGAAGAGGTCTCTAAGCACTGTAATAATTTTAAAAACTGAAATAGGAAGCTTGCTAGGACTGCAATAAACAACATAAAAGAAAGTATGTAAATACAAAGAATATAAGAACAAAGAAAATTTTAAATCTGTAATGCACAGGTCAAAACTAGAAAAAACAAAACTAAAAACTATTCTATATAATACAAACATGAGGAAGCAGCTATCTCAGTAGATCCTGATGTTATATAACAATTCCTCAAAATCTGACAAGGGGATGCAGCAAACAGGTGTGTTTACTGGAACAGGTCTTAAATCTGATTTGTTCTGAATACAGATGCCTTCCAAACTTTTCTTTACTGTATTAAACATATATGACAAATGCAACTTTTATTGGCTTTTCCTACTTTCCCTTAGATTGCCAACAATGGTGCTTCCCAAGAAGGCTAGCAGCCCCTGAAGTTGATGGGGTATTCATTCTTGGCTTTTTATAATTTTACAGAGGCGGAAGCTGAGGTTTAGAGAGAAGTTAAATAACTTGGTCAACCAAGCCATTATGGCTGTAATATTACCTGGATTAAAACCCAGGCCAGGGACTTCCCTGGCAGTCCAGTGGCTAAGACTGTGCTCTCAATGCAGGGGGCTCAGGCTCAATCCTTGGTTGGGGAACTAGACCCCAAGTGCTGCAACTAAGAATTCACATGCTTCATTGGTCTGCATGCCACAAGTAAAGATCCTGCATGCCACAATGAAGACCTGGCACAGCCAAATAAATAAATATTTAAAAAACAAAAAACCTAGGCCTGTGTTGATCTAAAACCTATATTCTTTCCCCTAGACCCCTCTGCTTCCAGGTGAAACTAAAATATTCCATTAGCCAAACAGAGAAAGATTTAAGTAATGAATGGTTTGATGGCTGAACAAATGAATCTCTATCCAAGAAAGTCTACGACAGACTCACTTATTTCACAATCTTGGTGTTTTGTGTTGTATTTTGATAAAGTGATCAAGCCATAGTATTATTTCCTAATTGGGATCATGGTAGAGATAAAATAGAGAATGAGTCCATTTCTGAAATCATGGTCCTAGGAAATTCCTAAGTGGAAGCTGACAGAAGTGGCAATGAAGTAGGGAATAAACCCTTGTGACATAATCAGAGGAAAAGACGTTTGAAAGAAAGGTAAGAGACTATAAATAAAATACATTACAGAGAATATACCTTCCTTTCAAATAACTTCAAAAATAATTATATAAGCACTTCCTGAAAGCCATAGTCATATCCAAATTAAAAATGCAAACACTGTAAAGGTTACAGTATCTGAACACAATGTAATAAAGGTAGAAAAAACAAACCAACCGACATAAGAGTTTGAAAAATAAGTCCTTTTGGAAAACCACCAAGTCAAAAAAGTAAGCAAACACATGATATTAAACTGTTCCAAAAACAATGAAATCAAGAAAGCATCTCTCAAAGTTTATGTGATATATGGACAAAAGTATACTAAGACACAATATAGCTTTAGTCAGTTTTAGTAAGAACTGAGAACAGACCCCTTCCTCACCCACTGTCAGCAGTCTTAAGTGTTCATATGAAGAACAAACACAAAGAAACTTAAGAGGAGTCAGAGGAAGAAAGTTACAGAGGTAGAAATGAAGCAGCAGAAAACTCCATTAATAAATGGATATGTAATTCATAGACAATTAAAAATAAGAGCTGATTTAATAAGGAAAAACATTCAGAAAACCTTCAGTGGAGACTCCAGTCTCCATCCCCACAAAATGATCAACTATTAGCTATCCATGAAGAAACACTGCTTGAGGCCACTTAGGAAACGTAAGCAACATAATGGGATGAAATTATTCTCATGGTTGACAATAACGGCAAGAGAAGAGAAGAAAGACAACTCCCCTTTGCTTGCATCATCCAGGCTGACGCTGCTCAGAGACGAGAGGAAACCTCCCAGCTGGGAAGAGTCCCCCTCACCAAGAAAAGACGAGAGGGGTGAGGCCAGCTGGTGCAGTCTTTTGGGCCACGTTACCAAAGACCTGCTTAGGTTTCAGCCCACCCACAGCAGCGAGGCCGAGACCTACAGAGATGGACAGGAAAAGGGAAAGAAATGCGGGGCTACAGAGAGCAGCCAAGGGGTGGCAGTGACTGCAGTTCACAGTGACGGGCTCTATGGACAAACAAAGCCGCCTGTGCCGCCGCAGAAAGAACCAAGAGACCTCACAGGTGCTGTGGATGCCCCACAGATACCAGCAGGTACCATGGTGCACAGCTATTCGTGCTCACGGATGCCAGCTGCCTCCGTCCCTCTCCCCTCGCCGCTGCAGTCAGCTCAGGGTGCTGGGCAAGATGGCAGCCTGGACGGCCCTCCCACGGCTGACACCACTGCCGCTGGCATGCTTCAGGCGAGCTCCTCCAGCGGTGTGCCTGCACGCTGCTGCCCTGCCACCCATCACCAGCCTCCACTGCCCAGAGGGGAGTAATGCACATGGGAGATGATGCCAACAGCTCGGGTCTCTGCGGCCGCTGGCCCGTGGGCCTGAATCAGGCCCGGTCTTCTCTGTCACTGGCCTGCACAACCCTGCTCCTCAGGAACCAGCCCCTGTGGCTGCATACTGGCATGCCCCGAGCCTGACCCTTGACACCATCCTCCACCGCAGTGTGTATACTCAGGGGGAGACTGTGGAGCCATGAGAAAGCACCCCAACAGCCATGGTCCCTGAAGCTGCCGGTGAACCTGCAACTGACCCTGGCCCTTGCTGCCTGCCCGCCCTCTACACCCACAGGGATCTCAGCTGGCCCTGCAGCCGAGTCTTTGTACCCCACCAGAGCCAGCCACCACCACCGCCTGTCCCGGCCTCCGGCTGCTGAACCTGGAGGTGCTCCTGAAGACCCCAAAAGCCCCTGGGGAAGCCCTGCAGTGTCTGCTGAGGACCACACAGCTGTTGGATCCTAGTGACCAGAGCTAAAGCGGTGACACAGCCCCTGAATCCAAGGCTGCCAGATGCCCCTGCGTTTGGTGCCCTGAACCACTAGAAAAATCCCACGGCCAGAGGAGCCTGGTGGGCTACAGTCCATAGAGTCACAAAGAGTCAGACATGACTGAGTGAGTGAGCTCACAAACACCTATTATGTGCCAGTCACTGATTTTAGTCCTGGGGCTGCAAAAATGAGACTTACAGACAGAAGCTGGATAGAAAATCCTACAAAACATCATGAGTAAAAAGAGTAAAAGTGAAGAATATTTTTTGATGAAAATATGAAATACTGAAAACAATATTGTTGCCATAGTTTATTTGTAATATTTATATAAATTCTATACTTGTTGAACACTTGCAAATGGCTAACTTGGAAAAAATAGGAACAGACTACTTAGTAAAATTTGGAGAAAAAATATAGGGAAAAACCATGAGATATCAGAATGTATCATATAAAAAGATATATTAAATTACAGTAATTAAATCCTTATGGTACTATCACAAAGTCAGATGGATTAATGGAACAATAGGTAGTCAGAAGCAAATTGGTAAATTTAAGAGTTAAACATATATTAAAAAAAGGCCACTTAAAAATGGGGAAGAGTGAAAAAAAAAAAGGCGGGGGAAGAATGGTACCGGCAGAATTGGTTTGCCAGGGAAGATAAAAAATTATTTTAGGATTTTATCTCATACAATGTATCAAAATTATTAAAGATGGATTAAATAATTACACAAAAAAGGCCACACAAATCAGGAGGAAATATAAGTATAAACTTGACTTTTAGATGAAAATAGGTAATAGCAATAAAGCAGATCACAAAGGAAGAGAAATCAGATTAGTTAAACATAACAAAATCTGACACATGTAAAACCATTATAAGCACAATTAAAAGTCAAACTACAAATTCTTCCACTAATAAATGGTTAGCTTCTGTACTACATAGAAATCTTATGCAAGTAAGGAAAGATTAATACTTTAACAGAAAAATTTGCAAAGCATATAAACAGACAATTCACAGAAGAGGAAATACAAAACACTACTAAATACAGGCATAAGAAAAAAAGTTTCAACCTCACCAGTAAATCTACTTAGGAAGTCAGACACAATCCATCACCTGTTAAACTGGCTGATGTTAAGAAGAATGGCTTTTCAGTAAACTTACACAGGGAAAACAAAATACTCAAATTTTAAGAAATCTTAGCTTTAAAGTATAGGTGATGTTGGTATAGAAGACCATTCTCCTGTTGTAAATCACTTAATGCAGTCTATTATTTCTGCAACTTCAACACACACAGTCAATATACTTTGGTCCCTGGCACTATGCAGCACTGAATACATATTTGGTAATATTTCATTAAATAACATAAATAAAACCTGAATCTTTACTGAAGACAGGTACATTCTGTATGCTATCACTAAGGAATCCCTCCTTATCAGCGCCGTATATAAAGCTGCCCAAAACTCGCATTCCTCCACCTTGTGAAAAAGTATGACTTTTCCATCAAAGTACAGTTTAACAGTGAATAATTTCACTATGAAAGTATCCACAGCACTAGTGTTTTGCAGAAAAACTGTTTAATTCAAATAGATACTTTTTTCCTACCCAAAGATATTTTTTAAGCATTTAAGAAACACCAGTGTGTGAAAGTGTGGGTGAATTTTCCTTTCATTGTGTAAATGATCCAAAGATAATAAGTGATATGAACACATAAGCTAATCATGTAAACCAAGTAACATTTCCACCAGGACCTTGTTTAGTTGATAAAATCGCTATGCTTTATGAATAAAAACTTAAAACCTTGGGTGAAGTGTCATAGCCATTTTCAATACATTAACAAAACAAGGGCTGTTTTCTTGCCTTTAGATAGATTCCATGAGGCATGTACTAGATATGTAGAAATTTGCTTCTCTGATAGAATAACCATGGTAAGTGTGAAAATACTCATATGTACATGGCATGTTAGTATGATCAATAGAAATGTCATGTCTCTGTAAGAATGAAAGCAATGCTTAGTTTTACTTTAAAAAAATAAACAGCTTACATTTTAAAATATTTAATTAGAGAAAATAAAACCACTCTAGAAATAAAAGAAATGAGCTACACTTTTTAATGAGCACTGTATTCCTGAAATTAAGTACTACAATTTACGGAAGTACTGGGACATAAAATACTTGTAATAATACAGGACAGGATTAAGTTATAACTGCTGGATTAAGTTTCAGGTACTTACTGGGACTCAACTTCTGGTTTAATTTCCTGCCATTCTCCATATGGGTTTGGTTTTTTATGAGCTTTGGGTTTTTCTTCATTTGGACCTGATGAATTCTTCCCTTGGGTATTTTTTTCTTTGGGTTTTTCTTCACTTGGACCTGATGAATTCTTCCCTTGGGTATTTTTTTCTTTCTGTGTTTCTGGTTCAGTTCTTTTATTACTATTTTTATTTTTTTCCTGGAATGTCAAAGTCAAGAAATATTAGTAACAAACCTCAAAGAAAACTGCAAGGACCAAAAATTTCTTTAATATAGTCTTGCTACTGATCTATAAATAATAATACATTAACTCAATAGTTCAAATTTGCACATAACACAACAAATGTACATGAAAGGACTTCTTTAATGCTTGATTAGGTTTTTCATTATATCTAAAATGCTAACATACCATGGCCAAGGCTGTTAAGAAATATAATGACCCCTCTACCTGTTCAACACTTAAGAGACATACACAGGCCTTATTCATCCTCTCTTCTCCACTTTACTGCTTTATCTCCTTCTTCACATGTCCAACAGTGACCTCCCTTTAACTGTGCCCCTTCCGAATTTAATGACATGTCACTGGACCCTTCTATACCCATTACCTACATAAAGAACTCCTGGTGGCTCAGATGGTGAAGAATCTGCTGGCAATGCAGAAGACTCGGGTTTGATCCCTGGGTTGGGAAGATCCCCTGGAGAAGGGAATGGCTACTCACTCCAGTACTCTTGCCTGGAGAATTCCACGGTCAGAAGAGGCTGGTTGGCTACAGTCCGTGGGGTTGCAAAGAGTCGGACAGGACTGAATGACTAACACTCAGCCAATTAAGAGTTAACTGAAATCCATCTGCACACTGAGGACACTGCCAGAAATTTACTGGCCTATACAACTGGTAATGACATGAAATTAGCAAAAGACACACCCCTGAAGGAGAAGCAGCTTCTGCAGAGCCCCTGGGGAGAACTGGTGCTTTTACGGCACCCCTTCAACTGGGATAACAAAGCCCTGTGGCTCAGTTTAGCCTCTCTGCAAACTGTGCTACCATGGGTGCCAGTCCTGGGACTGTTCTGTTTGCAATGCTTTGAATGGATGTTAATGCATTCTCTTATGCTGCTGCGCTCACAGAACCAGGACACAGCATCAGCCTTCTCTAGCAATCATGACTGCTTCCAGACCATGTCATTTTGAAAATAAAACATTTTTACTGAGGACATGAAACTTTTTACTTTGCAATAAATGCCTCCTCTGAGACCCATGCCACCTTCTATGTAACTGTCCTCCGTTCTTCTGCAGTGGTCTAATGACCTCTGACTACTCCACAGAAGTGGGGACACTGGCAACTCGGGCACCACGTTCTCTCTGTTCAAACTCTTGTGGTCATCCTAGTGCTTAAAAATTTCCGACCCTCAGTTTTGTGATGCACAAAACCACTGACTCTGGCCTTCACTTTATTTTAGTAACCTAGTAAGGTATTTTCCTCACATGTAGCACCTGGTGCATAGGTAGTATTCAAATATTAAATCCTCACATTTATGTTCCTGTTAATTTGAATTAGGTCATCACTCAGAAATGCCCCACTTGTGAAATCTTTTTTTTTTTTGGCTAAATAACATTTCCTTCAAAAATATGTTTTATTCATGATCTTCCTACATTTGATTTTAAAATTCAGCAATAATTTGTGAAATCTTAAAAGCCCAACAGTGTTACTCCGTTGGCTCTCTGGCCCCCTCACTTCTGCAGTACTTCCTGTTCAACCTCGCTGCCATCTCTACTACTTTAATTTCCTGTGCTCTGAGTTGGCTGGTCTCATCTAGACTTCATAACTTCATATTCTTCATCATCAGGCCCCAGCCCACAGAGAATCACTTCACAGACATTCCTTTGCTAGCACCCTTAAATATCTTTGTCCCTATGCCTGTCTATTGTAAAAGATCTAAATATCTCCAACCCAGGTCTATCCAACCATTGGTCTGTCAAGTGTTACCAAAAGAAGAACCACACAACATACAAACTGATGAACCTTCAGAATTTATGAGATCCAATTTCAGCAGACTTTAACATTGTGAAGTAATATGCCCCCAGTTATTTCTTCTCCTGGTCCCTTTAGTGATTATTCAAAATAAATATTCAGCTCCACAGGGCTGAATTAATCACTGTATATTCATATCACAGAATACTATTCATCCATTATTTCAGTAGATGAAGACTTAATGATGTTCTCTGTGACAGATTAAATTGCAAAGTGATAATAAAACCTTATTACAGTATGACTCCATATTTTGCTTAAAGCAATGTTCAAATCTGAATACAAAAATATTACAGACCAGTAACACCAAGGTATTTACTGATTTCTCTGGCAACTGGCCAGATTATAGTTTGTCCTTTTTTGTTTATCTATACTTTGAAATATTTTGTTTGCTTCAAGTTAATCATATCTGTCTCAAACTGGATGCTGGGTTACCTAAACTGAACTATAAACACTGAACTATAAACACTATAGAACTATAAACACAAAAAGCGTTGCTGCTACTCTTCTACAAACTGGATACGTTCTTCACCCTAAGTTCCACCAAGATTTATGGGGTGCGTAGAGAAGTTGCAGGCAAAGGCAAGACCCTAGGGAAGGCTGCAAGCACCCTCTCTCCAGCATCCTGGATATTCTTTCACCTCTCAGGCCAGTACTCAACTGTGGATCAATGTTACATATCTTGTCCATTTTGGCATCCAGGCTCCTGATTGCTCCTAGAAAGGTCACAAAAGCAGGAGGACTAGCAAATCTATTGTGTGTGAGCATGCTCAGTAGTGTCTGACTCTGAGACCCCAGGGACTGTAGCCTGCCAGGCTCCTCTGTCCATGGGATTTGCCAGGCAGGAGTACTGGAGTGGGTAGCCATGCCTTCCTCCAAGGGATCTTCCCAACCCAGGGATCAAACTCGAGTCTCTTGCATCTCCTGCCTTGGCAGGTGGATTCTTTATGTGCTGAGCCATCAGGGAAGTCCAGCAATACTATTAACACTATTAAAATGTTGGTTTTACTTTCCCACCACGGCTGGGCACTCAGCACCACCAGCTGTCAATCCTCTTACTTGGTTCATTTTCTCTCCCACCTTGGCTCAGGGATTATTTGAGTCTGTTAATGTTGTCAAGCTCCCCAAAGTTCCTCTCAGCAAACAATCTTGATTTCTTTACACATGAGTAAGCTGAGGCTAAAAGGCATGACTTCTTCCCTGACAGCAACTCATCTACAGGCAAACCTTACAGAAAATTAAAGCCTTACCTTCCTACAGAGAATGAGTAACCTATTCACCACTTACCTTTGTTGGTATTCTTTTGGAGTTCCTGCTCAGGAAAACATCACCACTACAACTCTCTCACAATTAAAAGTCAGTATGTAGCCACCATCCTATTATTTAATTTCTACTTTTCATTTCATATCCCAACCACATACACACTGTGAACCACTTTTCATCCTCTTGTAATTTGAGTTTTACCTCCTGAAACTCTGGTCCAACCATTAAAAGGCTATCAAGGACTTCCTGTCTGCACAATTCAAAGGGTATCTTTCTTCCTAGACCAAGTCAGCCCTTGACGCTCTCTACTCCAGGGCTTCCCCAGGGACTCAGTGGTACAGAATCCGCCTGCACTGCAGGAGCCGCAGGTCCCGTCCCTGGGTTACCTAAACTGAACTATTGAGCCACTCGAGTATCCTTCCCTGGAGAATCCCATGGACAGAGGAGCCTAGCGGGCTGCAGCCCACAGGGTCACAGAGAGCCGGAAACGACTGCGGCAGCTTGGCAGGCACGCCCTCTACCCCACGGGCTGCTGGGACACTGGACTCTCCTTCTCTGCAGACCTTTCTAACCGCTCTCTCCCCATTCTGCCCTGTGGGCGTCTCTCTCACTTACACTTGCGTGTTTAATGTTTCCCGAGGTAATTTTTCTAGGTTACTTCATCCCTTCTAACACTTATATTACTACTAGTATTTTGAGGATATACAAGTTAACATTTCGAACCTTAGACATTCATCTGTGCATGTTCGGACAGCTCTCTGGATGTTACAGAGGCATCTCAAACTTAGGAGGTCTAAAAAGCAATTTACCATCTTGCTGCTATCATTTATCCAATGCCAAAAGGCATGCACATCTCGGTTTTATTTCCACCTTCTACCAGAAAACTGAAGAGTCTATAGATCTTTTTATCAACTAACAAACTGTTGTAAAGAATTAAGAACCTACCTTAAACTTTATTATTAGCTTTTGTGTTTCTGTTGGGATCTCTTCTTTTTTTTTCTCCTTTGCTGCTTCCTGTTCGCCATCAGACTCACTATGTGAATCTGATGATTTGGACTCTTCTAGGGTGCCCAGTGACTTTTCATTGACTTTACTAGAAGGCAGATCACCGGAGTGTGGAATGAAATCATCAGGTTTTTCCCATCTGGATTCTAATCAACACATTTTAAGAGTCATGTTATTTAGTTACCAATGCTATTTTAAAGTAATTTCCAATATAATGTTTCCTATCACAAGACATTATTGAGTGACAACACTGTATCTGTTTCACACCATCACTTGATCAAGAAGATAAGCATTCTCAAAGATCTTGCTATTAGCTTTCAGAAATTAAATTCAAGCAATCTGGGTTCACTAGATCTATCAACTACAGCCCCAACGGAAAGAGACTGAAAAACTGGGTAATACATTCTGAAGACTCAAAATTTAACCACCACCAATTTCAGGAAACATGGTAATGGACACACAGGAGATTTTCTGAAATTTATTTATCACAAAATTTCCCTGGGATCTTCACAAAGTGAAATAATACGGCAAAGATCTGAATACATAAAATTTGTCATTTAATAGTAAGGAGAAAAAAAACCACCTCAGTTGAACTATACTGCCACCCAGTGGTTTGTTGGGTTTTTAGTAAAATGACAGCAGCTCTAATTATCTTGCAGTTATTCTCTTTAGTTTAATAAAACTGATTCTAAAATTTATTGTTCAACTGGGAATGTTTTAAGAGTAAAAGGGGCTCTATTAATAATCACATTGGTCCATACATAAACTGAAATTGTTGGGGGCAAATCAATATGTACAGTCCCTTATTAACTGCAGAGAACTTTCTAGCACTGGTGAAAAACATTACTTTTCCTTGCCTCTATTTCACATAAGTAACAAAAGAGTTTTCATGAAAAATTTGTGAAGCATCTAATATGTACTAGGCACTGTTTGGGGACCCTTACAGACACGGGACCATCATGACCTCACAGAGTACATGATCGACACTACTTAAGAGCAACTACAGGCTCGGTGACTTGCCCACAGTCACAGAGCTGGTAAGGGAAGACGCTGTGCACTGAGCTCACTCAGATCTAACCCCGGAGTTATAAATTATTTTATGTCTATAAAGATTTAGTGTATCAGGTTTACTGAGACAGAACCACTGTCATCATTGTGCAGACTGCTACCTAAGGGAGATGAAAACGGTCTTTTTCTTCTAAAAGACTTAATGCTATGTAGCAATCTTTGGATAGCAGGAATCAAAAAACAACAACAAAAACCATCTCAGAGTTACACCAATACTATAGCTATTTTGGTAAATTTAACTGCAGAAGAAATCAACTATAATTATTGCAAAGACTAGTTTTATGAAATTAGATAAAATCTTAATTTGAAAAACTTAGATAATAATTAGGTAACAATAATTACACGTCTTCTAAACATTTATGTAACTGAAAATTATTAAAGTGAAAACTAGACAGCCTTAGCCACTGCTAAAGTAGCTTCAGTTCTGCTTTTCAAAAGAGAAGGCAAGTTGAATGAGTGATCTTCCAAAGCAAAGATTATATTTCTAAAATAATCATGATAAAACCAATCATAGTGGAGAAAGTAAAAATGAGTTTTGAAGTAAAATTTGTGAATGCAGTGTCACTTGAGAATAGCAATGTACAGCTCAGTGTATTACAGAAACCTCTCTGCTTTTCCATTGTATCAATGCTTTTAAATTATAAAAAATAATACACTGGAGAAGGAAATGGCAACCCACTCCAGTGTTCTTGCGTGGAGAATCCCAGGGACAGAGGAGCCTGCTGGGCTGCTGTCCATAGGGTCGCACAGAGTCAGACACGACTGAAGTGACTTAGCAGCAGCAGCAGCATACTAAAATTGTCAAGTTCAGACAATTCACCAGCAGGCTAATGAGCAGTGTCAGGTACAATTTTAGATAGTTTAAAAGATCACCAAAGGTACTACTTACCCCCTGTTTCAGTATTATAATAATAGGTATAGCCATCTTCACTTAACCCTTCTATCCACACAGTCTTCCCTGTTGCCTAATGGGAGGGGAAAAAACCCAACATAAACTGAAGATGTGGTTATATATTAGATAACTAAGACAGTCAGCCAACCTTTCCTTTTCTATGGAAACCTGGGAGTTGGTACTGATCACGGCCAGGAACCTGGTTTGTGTTAGTCATAAGCCACCTTTCATGAATGGAATATCACACTTCTGAACACCTGGACAGTTCTTTGCAGACTAACTGGAATATGTAAATGGCTGCTGCTAAGTCGCTTCAGTCGTGTCCGACTGTGCGACCCCAAAGACGGCAGCCCACCAGGCTCCCCCATCCCTGGGATTCTCCAGGCAAGAACACTAGAGTGGGTTGCCATTTCCTTCTCCAATGTAAATGGCAACTGACTGCAAATCAACTAATAACATTCGCCCTGCATGGACTATGAGGGTAGACAACACTTTTCCACCTCCATCTACCCTTTTAACAAAAGGATTATAGAAACAAAGGAACAAAGTGCCTGGGGGGATTGGGAGGTTTATCTGCAAGTAAATCCGATTAACTAAACCCAACAAAAATCCCAAAAGCCAATCACTTTAAAGAATAAAGAAAATACTATTAATGTGCTTCAGTTACCTTTTTTAAGTTCCCTTGAAATCCTTCAGGTTTCTCCCACTGAGATGCTTAAAGCAAAATATACTGTATTTGTAAAATCTTTCCAAAATAATTTAATTTGGCAAATATTTACAATATATTCAACATGAATGAAATACTATGTGTCTGTAGTTTAACACATAATTCAAAAATAAAAGAAACAACATACACCCTAGTAGTATCGTGTAGAATACAGGTGAATGCTACGTACCCAAGAAGGGGCGGACGAAATGAAGGAAAAGTTACTGGTGCTTCCACAAGAAGCATTAGAGCCAGAGAGGGCTCCCGTTAAAGCCTTCTTGGAATTCAGGTTTGATAACTTTTGAAGGCATAAGAAGTCCTTCTGACATCTTGGGGCAGGGGAGAGTGAAAGATGGAACGAATGACTCAAGACAGAAATAAAATGAAATATGCAGGAATTAAAAACAAGCATTGCTAAGAGAAACAGTACATAAAGTAGGATGGTGAACAAAGGCAGCAAGGAATAGGCTGCAGAAGGGGGAAAAATGTAATTAATAAGTAATTACTATGTAAATTTAAGACAATATTTAGCATATAATTATTTATGGTTCACTGCTAACTACAACATGTACTTCACTAACAGCTCAGTGAAAACTCTCAAGAGATTATTACTGTTTCTGTGTAGTCAAAGACTGACTGTGACTCTACAGATCTTATTAATTCCCACAATATTGGTAGCCCAAGGTTTTTTCCCTCATTAACTCTCCAGTCTCATCTCCTACCTTCCCAACCATTCTTAACTTTTCTTCTACCCATTCCTTGAATATATGTACCACCCACCCTTTTTATTTCTTGTTCTCTACTTTCTCCATGTGATTCATACACCCCTAAAAGTTAAAATATTTACAAAGTTTTAGCAAGAAAATATAAAGCTACATATTTATTTATATTTATAGTTGATAAGGAACCCACTATCAAGTCTTTTAATGATCACCTTGAATCACTATGAAAAGGGTACATTTTTTAAATGGCACAGTTGTTTTTTTTTTTACCACTGTGGAAAAATGTAGTTACAGACTTTCACTGTTTAAGTGTTCCAATAATAACTAAAAGTTATAACACAAAATAAACTGTCAGTTATCATTTTCTACTGTCTTTATGCCTAAATGACGTACCTCCTGTGATAAGATTATAATAGTAATGGTGACCCTCAGAGGTTATGCCTTCTACCCATCTGCCCTTTGAAGGGTCTTTTTTCTTTTTCTTCTTTTCTTTCTGCTGATTTGATGCAGAGGCGGGTGGGACAGTGCTGGTTACTGGTGACACACTTGGCTCGGAGATCTCTAGAGAAAGGTGAAGGAAGGGTAAAGTAGCTTATGTAAAGTTTTCCTTTCTGGTTTAATAATTTTATTTCAATCAAAAGCCTGACAAAATTCCTTTGGGAACCTGACACATTACTACAAAGCCTATTTGGAAAACGACACATGCAAGAATATAAGACTATCCAGGAGAACATCCCAAAATATATATATGAGGCAGACAAACGATAAATCTTTATAACAAATACGACAGAGGGTTAATGCTCCTAACAAAGATCCCTTACAAATGTAACTTTCTAACTCAAAAGTGGGCAAAAAGTCAAAGGTAACTCAGAGAATTAACATTATCTTCACTAATAACCAAGGAAATGCAAATACATAAAATTGTTTTTGCCTTAGATCAACACTGAAAAGAATAACCAAACCCACTGTTAGTCAGTCTTATCCATCAGGTATTTACATGGGTGTAAAAAATAGGTAGTTTTTACGGCTTTGCTTTTTTCCAAAGGAATAGTTATTTCCAACATCAGTTAATAAAATAATTGTATTTCTAGGAAAAGTGTAAATCAGCCCAACATTTGTGGAGACAGTCTGATTTCATCAATCAATTTATAAAACATTTGCACTGCAAATCTGCAATCTCACTTCTAAAAATTGAGCCTACAGATATAAATTGTGAAAACGTGCCTGTGTAAGGGCACTCACGGAAATATTTTTTCTAACAGCGAAAAACTCTACGAATCCTAAATGTTAATCAGGAAGAGACTAATTACATAAAATATGGCATTTTAATACACACATATATACACATACACATATATACAATTCAGCCACCAGAAAGGACTGTGCCATTTGCAACAACATGGACAAACCCTGGACACATCATGCTAAGTGAAATAAGCCAGATACAGAAAGACAAGTACCGTATGGTTATCACTTATATGTGGAATCTAGAAAAGTCAAACTTGTAAAAAAACAGAGCAAATAGGGGTAGTTAACAGGGGATGGGGGGTAGAGGGATAAGACTGACGCTGTTTAAGGATACAGATTTGCAGTAAGTAGTAAACAAGCCAGAAATCTAATGCACAGTTTGAATAGAGACAATGATATACAATTGTGTAATATGATAAATACTGCTATAATGCAATCACGTTACAATAAATCTATCACACTAACGTACTGTAAACCTTAAATTTACATAATGTGTCTAAGAGTCAATAAAAAAAAAGTAAAAAAAAAAAAACTACTTTCTAGTAATAAAGTCAATTATCTGTTCACAAAAGGTTAATTCACTATAATTTAACTACATAAATAAACATGATTCATAGTTTTGATGGTATGGATAGAGCAAACTGGGGTTATAAGGCAAGGCCTATTTTTTAAATGAATAGATCCATTTAGCCAAAAAATTAGGATCCATAAAAAACTCAAGTGTCTCTGAAATGAACTCCTGGCCTAATAAGACAGAGCAAGGGCTAGGTAACCCCTAGTATAATACAGTTGTTGTGAATGGGGGTACTGAAAGATGAAGATCAAAAGCAAAATGAAACGTGGACGAGCAAAAGTCCCAGAGTCTAAACAGGGCTGAGATACACAGGCACAGCACTGCGAGTATACCGAGCGTGCACTCCTCTACGCAGACAGTAAGAGCTCACTCAGCACCTGAGGTGCTCCTTTTGAAACAAGCTGGCTGCTCTTTACCTGACTCTAGGCCGAGCCTCTTCAAATCCTCCTGGTATGCTTTCAGGGCAGCTGCCTCCATTGCTGCAAACTCCTTTGATGCCTTTTCTTCCTCCTTCGCCTTATCCAGGCTTTTCTGTTTAATCTATTTAAGACACACATATAAAGGTGAATGCTAGATAAAGGGCTGATATTTACAGAGAAAAACTGACAAAGAAAGAAACAAACTAGAATACCTCACTGATCCTCTTCGCCACATTTTCTTTATGATTCTTTCCTCTTTCATGAAATTCAATGCTCTTGAAGGTTAAGAAAAAGACAAAAGACAAAGGAAAACTACACATCATAATGCTCACAGCAAAGTAACAGTAAATAGGGAAATGGAACATAACAAAATTGAAGTACAATTGGCAGAAAGGATAAAATTAATGTTCATGCAAACTGGCCCTTTTAATCAAATGATGCTAAGGAACTAAACCACAATTATTATGCCCTCTGACAAGCTGTCCTTTGGTGCTTAAAATAAACTATGATGAACATATTAATAAAGAAATATACAAGGTACCCTTGATGACTAATCTAGTGAATATGACTGTAATAAGGACTCAAGCAAGACATGAAGCCAAAAGAGGAGTTGGGGGAAAAAGAAACCTCACACTTCAAGAAACACCTCCTGGGGCTTCCCTGGTGTCTCAGTGGTGAAAAGTCTGCCTGCCAATGCAGGAGATGCGGGTTTGGGAAGATCCCACACACTGAGGAGCAACTAAGTCAGCGCACCGCAACTACTGACCCTGTGCTCTGTAACAAGACACCGCAATGAGGAGTCCACGCATGGCAACGGGAGAAAGTCGGAGTGCAGCAACAAAGACCCAGCAAAGCCAAAAATAAATTAAATCAAAAAAACACCCGTCAACATAAAATGTCACAACCAATGAGTCCAGAATTTGTACTGCTCTATTTGCCACATTATGCTTAAAAAAAATAAACAGTGATTCTCAGCTTCTCCAAATTGAGAAAAGTAAGCATTAAAAAATGCCTTCTAAATTGTAAACAAATACTATTATACAACGTGTTAATGGTACAAAATGTAAAACTCCTATGCAGGGCAATCTAAAATTAGGCTGCTGTAATAGAGAACAAAGGAACTCCTTATACACTGATGATAAAAGAGCATCAGGATATGCTGTCCAATTAAAAAAAATAAAACTGTGGTGCAAGACAGTATAAACAGCATGCTACCTTCTATGCACATTGGAATCTACAGAAACATTTAGATACAGATATGGAAGCACAGACAAGAAAATGAAAAGAGGGGTAACCTATGAGGAACGATGATAACTGGATGGATGGGGACTGAGCTGGTGAGTGAATATTATTACCTATTTAAAAGCCAGAATGCTCCCTAAATTACAAATGTGTTGTATGAAATAAGAAATTTCTGGTTAAGTTTGCAAAGTTCTGTCAATCAATTCTTACCTAATGCACTTGCTGAGTTACTCTAAAGTACTGCTGTGAATTCCTCTTTAAAGTGTGACTTCGTAAAGCAAATATTCATCCTCTATTTTTCATATCTTGGTTTCCTAAAGTTGGTTTTACTATACAGAGAATATTAAAGGCCTAATCAAAAATAAATTGTTTCTAGTTAAAGGTTAAATCAATGTGTATTAGCCATTCAAGGAAATGAAGAAAGACTATCCTAGAAAGAATTAGTTTCTCTAGATAACTCAAAAACTTCACTGAATTGCTTGCATACTTCCAAGGAAGAGAGGCTATCGGTGATTTGTGTAGCTTTTAAAACTTGTGACCTTTTTTTTTTGGTAAGGATGGGCAAAATCAAACAAGATAGTCAAGAACTTTAGCAACTATTCAAAAAGAAATAAACAAAAAAAGACAAAACTGAAAAGTATCATCAAACTCTTTGCAGATAATAATAAATAAATGTAAAAAAAAAATAAATGTCTACCAAAGAAACATAACATGGTTACAGATGGTGCTACTATTCTTTTACCCATTCACCTCTACCAAGTAATAAGGATACGAATATACATCTAAAAAATATCCTATCAGTTATCTACTACGTACATAGTACAAAGACATGCATGAGATGGGGTGAAAAAAAATCAATGGTGTCTTTCGTTTTATGTTTTAAGAGGTGAACATGGACTAAAAGATACCAACTAACAATGTGCTTAAAGTTTGCTATTTTCATATTCCATGACAAAGATAATGATGTCTTTCAAATTTAAGCATTTAGAAATATAAAGCTCTACATCAAATATATTTAACTACATTTAGAGCAGAAATATACAAGGAAAACTACAATAATGTTGTTTCTTTTCACACGTTAAGGACTTTCTGCTTTTACTTTTCTTTGTATACAACAATATTACAAACAGCACCTTCATAACCTAGGTGTTTCATAAACATGAATGTGTTTACCCACTCAATGTCCATTTCCTGAATGTGACTGAAGGGCCAGAGAGAAATAGTTTGGCTTAGTACATAATCAAATTTGGGCTGATGATAAAGAAGAAGGCTGTAGCTTTCCTACAAGGAATAAAAAACACAACAGAAATTGTTCGATGTTGTGAAAAATCAACAGCAACGCATACGAAAGTACTTTGTAAGCTCTCAGTTGAGATAAAAAAGGAACATCTCGCCTCAATACAGTATTAGGAGACTCTCTAATAGAGGAATCATCATACAGGCCTATTGTCTGCGATCCAACACTTGCAGTAATCACAGAATTTCTTTGGTTGTGACTTCCAGTAGTCTGCCCTGGAAAAGAAAAAACAAGTGTATTTAGAATCTAAAAAGGTAATTTTTGCATGATTTACGTCTTCTTAGAGTTCGAAATGCAAGCTTCAGAATCTTGTTACACACAGCATCCTGCTTTATTATTTAGCTGATTGAAAGCGACCAACTGAAAATCTGTTGCCACTAGAGTAAAAAAGTCTGCACCGGATTTAAAACTCCCTTAAATAAAATAGCTTTTTAAAAATGTATCATTTGTTATTGTCACCAGTGTAAAGAAACAAGGAACAGGTTGGAGATCATCCATTCCTTTCTGGCATTTTTGGAGTGAGGTTACCGTAATGGAGACTTGAAACTCATAAAGTTCACGTTAAATCAAGTTATTTCAACTCAAAGAACTAAATATAAGACGCCTCTGGTGGGAGACTGTGGCTCCTCCGAGACTACCAGTTAATAGTTTGTTCTTGAGCCTCAAGGCAAGGGAGAGTTGGAAAAGCCAATGGATCTCTCAGCTGGCAAGACCAAAAATTAAAGTCATAAGCTAACCAGGGCTGGCCGCTTCTAGCAGGAGGAGGCGGCAGCGGTGGCCGCAGTCCAACCCTACGGTTTCAAAACACCCCACGGTTCAAGCGCCACCAGAACGAGGATGCCCGCGGCCCCCGACGGTGGAGGCGGCAGCAGCCCTCCGTCGCTCCACGGCGGCCGTCCTACCTGCAGGGGCCGCCAGCCTCCCTCCTGGAGCCCGCGCGTCCCCACCCCGGGACGGGAGAACCGGCCCCGCCGGTCCGCGGCCGGCCCCGAGCGAGTTAAAGGCGCTTCCGTCACGCCCCTGGCCGAGGGCGGACGGAGGGGAGAGGGGCAGTGGCGGAGGGAGAGCCCCGGCGGGCGAAGGGCCGCCCGGAGAAACAAGACCTCGTTGTTTGAGAGCCTGAGAGACCCGACTCACATGACTGGACCAGGCGCTCCGCGGGCCGCCCCCGAACCCGGCCGAGGCTCGCGTTCTCCGCGCGGGGAGAACTGGGCCCCAGCTCACCACGAGGCCCACCGGAGCCTCGGCGCGCGGACGCCTCCCACCGTCTCCGGGGCCCGCGTTCGGCCGCGCCCATCTACGGGTGCCCCAGCGACCCAATCCGCGTTCGCGCTCTCCTCCCCCGCGCCCCCCTCGAGGGGCGGGCCTCCGGCTCCCCGAGAGGTGGGGTCGTTATAAGCCGGCGGAGGTCGCCGACAAGGGGCGAGAGCGCGACGGGACTTGAGGGCACGCTCGAGTCTCGTGTCCCCGCGTCAGCTCGCCTTCTCTCTTTCTCTTGTCCCCTCCCGAGATCCAGAACCTCCACCCTCCTTCTAGGCTCGCTGGCTCGCGGCCCGAGGCTCGCGCGCCGCCTCCGCCCCGAACGCAAACAGCTGTTCCCAGAGACGTCGCCGCCCTCAACTTTGCCAACTAGTCCGCACGCACTCTGACCGGCGGAGCAGCCCGGACCCGTAGGCTGGGGCGCGGGCCGTTGACGGAGTTTAAAAAAAAAAAAAAAAAAAAAAGGTGAAACAGCTGGTTTCGGGGCCGAGAGTCGCCGGGCTTGGCTCGGAACTTTTCCTCAGGCGGCGGAGCGACCCCGCCCCGTAGCTGCGACGCCCGCGCGCTCCTACTGGGCGCGCTCCCGGGCTCGAGAGCGCGTGGGGAGCTGGGGTGCAGGCGGCGGCGGTGGCGGCTGCTGGGGCGGCCCTGAGGCGGCGGCAGCGGCGGGCGGTGGAGCCGGGGTGGCGGCGGCGGCGGCGTTCACTCTTGTCAGGTGAGTCACCGCGGAGCTCTTCGCAGCACTTCCCATATGGTCTAGCGGTTAGGATTCCTGGTTTTCACCCAGGCGGCCCGGGTTCGACTCCCGGTATGGGAATGTGGTAGCACTTTTTAGAAACAGACAGGCAGAACTGACTTGTCTTATTTCCAGTGGCTCTGGGTCTTTTTTTTTTTTTTTTTTCTGACACCATCCCCCCCGTCCCCCAATGCCAGGTGATTTTTGTGGAAAACGAGCCTTAGAGCAGCGTGGTTAGACCTGGGCTGCCTCGAGTGCGGAGTCGGGCGGGCGGGAGGAGCGGCTGCGCTCAGGCTGCGGCTGCTCGCGCGGGAGGCCGGCGGGGCTGGGGCGCGGGGCACGGAGTTTCACTTCTCCCGGGGCCGTCCTCCCGCCGCTGCGGGCCCGGGCCGTCCCCTCCCCAAAGCTCGGGAGGTGATGATTAACCCCAGCCTCGCCTTATCGTCCCCCAGCGCCCCCCGCAGGCCCACACCCTCGCCTCGGACGGTCCGGAGCGACGCGGGGCGTGTTCGCCCGCGCCCGGCTCGGAGCCCCGAGTCAGCGCGCCCGGGTTCTTCACTAGAAACACCCCGCCCGCACCCCGGACCCCCGACACAAAGCAGCCCCCTGGATGGGTGCGGGCCGGGGACCCCCGGCGACCGCGCCGCTCCCGCTCGCCCGGCCGCGGGTCCCCCCAGGGCGCCCGAGCCCCGCGCCGAGGGCACCCCGGCTAGACCTGTGGGACGCCGGCCGCTGATCACAGAAAGCTCCCCAGACTCGGGAGCCGCAGACCTGAGCGCTTTGGCTCGGGAAGAGAGAGGGCATCCGTCCCGTTCTCCGCACCCCCCTCCCGGCCCAACACGCACACACGCGCGCGCACGCGCTCTGGAAAAGAAAAATGACCACTGGGATGAGATGTCTTTCAAGAAGAAATGTGACTTCTCCAAAGGGTCTATAACGTTTTGAGCGCCACGGCTAGAAAATCCTGGCATGGTGGTGGAGCTCGGAAGAGAGAAAATTGGCCGGAGCCTGGGGAGGGGATGTTATAACAAAGTTTCACTGTATTTTTAAATATAGAAGCCCTGTGTTTATTACAAAGAAGGGGCAGCTGTGTCAGCAGCATGTGAGCTGTAAACGAAACAAAAGCGTTATCTTAAATGCAAGCTGAAATTAGAAAATGGGGTGAGCTATATAATGTTTAGCCTATTGGGCCTTTGGGAACAAATGAAGGAGGAAGAAGTGCCTCTTGTGGATGGGTTTCAGGGCAGTGCCATGACAAACAGCAGAAAGTTCAGTTGTATGTGCCTTCCCAAACTCTTGTTTTGATAGTTTTAGCTGTACAGTGAGTTTTGAAATAATCTGTTAGTGTGATCTGCATGATTAAGAATTAATTACTTTCACATTGTAAATAAACTTCCACAGCTAAATATGTTTTAGATCGTCTCCATTAATTCAAATATTTAGACGTTTACACCAAGCACCCTCATATTTTGAAAGTTGACTGATGTTCAGGTTTTTTTTTAATGTGAGGAGGTTATGGAGGGAATACTAAAAGAAAGTATATTTTGGCGCCTTTGATCAGTATGACTTTGTGTAGCTCTTTCTCTTCTTTGCGCTCTGGGTTTAAAGCCATAAATTCTTGATAATGCATGTCACTCACAAACTTTAGAGCTTCAGGAATTGTTGAGCAATTCTTGTGTTGGTAATAAGAGTGGAAAAATTTCGTTTAAATAGAGGATTGTGTCATTGTTCAGAAACCATTTACTGAAGAATTAGGCTCGAATTTGGAAGAAGGAAAAGAACTCTCTGACTTAATTGTCTTCATAGTGCTTGATTCGTGATCTTGCATTTCCTAATGACTTGTATTATACTGTACCAAACTGTGCTAAAATGGATGTGATTTTCAACTGAGTACCAGCTATAATTGCAAATGGCTTTATATGTACTCGAGGGTATGCTGAGAGGAGTAGTCTGATGACAGTTTCTCAGTGTCCAAGACATAGACTTACAGGGTTCCTTGGTGGCACAGCGGTAAGAATCTACCTGCGAATGCAGGAGACATGGGTTTGATCCCTGGTCTGGGAAGATTCCACGTGCCTCGGAGCAATTAAGACTGTGTGAACTGTGTGACGCAAATACCGAAGCCCGAGCGCCCTAGAGCCTGTGCTCCACCGCAGGAGAAGACACTGTGATGAGAAGCCCCCGGACTGCAATGTAGAGTAGACCGTGCTCGCCGCAACTGGAGAAAACCCTTGCAAAGCAATGAAGACCTAATGCAGCCAAAAATTAAGAAAAAAACAAAAAAAGACATGGATTTATATATTGTGTACCAGGCAGAATTGCATAGGTCGGCTTCTGAGTTACAGAATTGCTTCAGGAGCATATGGGTGAGAAATCAGTTCCACTCAGGGAAGAGGACTAGAGTCCAGACACGGAGAGGAGAGTGTCCTGGACCTTGAAGGATGGGTTGAATTTCTCCTGGTGGGGAATGTGTATCAAAGCTGAGCTTGGTGCGGGGGGGAGTGTGAGGCAGGCAAGTAGCTGGTTGGGCAAGAGTACTCAGTACCCAGAGAGAGAGTCATTGGGATCAGGTTGGGATATTAAAAGAGAATTTTAACTTGATAACTTTTGACTGGGTAACAAGTTGTTTTGAGTTTGAGCGAACTCCAGGAGATAGTGAAGGACAGGGAAACCTGCTGTGCTGTAGTCCATGGGATTGCAAAGAGTCGGACAAAACTGAGCGACCGAACAACAACACAAGTTGTTCTAAGGGCGTGATGTTTATGTCAGTAGAGTTTTTAAAATATTTTTTGTCTCTTTGAAAAAACTAAATATGGCATAATATGTGAGAAATTTTTGTTGTTTTATGAGTCAAACTATATAGAAACATGTAGAATGTTTTGTGCTCATAAGTTTTATGGTTAGCAGTTAGATATTAAGTTTTAACTAATGGAATGGAGAAAAATATCAGTCAACTAGAATTACATTTAAAAGAAGGGATTTTAGGTTTAAATTATGAGAATGATCTGCACTATATTCTTACTGAGTTGCTTTATTGAAAATGACCTTAATATAGTAAAACAGAGCTACTAGTTACTGTCTGGGAAGTATACACCTTAAATTGGTGAAGACTAGGTAATACATTGGTCAGGACTAGGTAATACTAGGTAATACATTTGTAATCATATGCTTGTGCCTTGTTTCCAGAACACAATTGGTAGTCTTGTTTTACATGTTTTCTCTTGAGCCACAGAGTTATACTAAGTGATGTGAATTACCCAAGTAGTCTCTTTACTATTTGCTACTGTTTGGTGCAATTAGAAGAGAAGATGTATGACAGATCAGTAAGTGTTTGCATAGATGAGCACTTAAAGCAATATAAGGGATTAGAAAATTATGATGACTTTTTAAAACCCAAAGACCTTTACCATGGTCTCTGAGCCCAACATTGTCTGACCTCTGCTTGCCTCCCCAGTGCCACCTCCTACCTTGACCTTTTCATTGTACTTTAGCCACACTGGCTTCTTCCTTTTTGTCTCTTGAATGTGCCAAACTTGTCCTTTCTCAGTTTTGTGTCTTGCTGTTTGCACTGCCTGCAGTATTCCCTCTCTAGCTCTGCACATCTCACTCTTGTCGATGTTAGCTTATCAGAGAGACCCTGTGTACTAGCTGCTGCTGCTGCTGCTAAGTCGCTTCAGTCGTGTCTGACTCTGTGCGACCCCATAGACAGCAGCCCACCAGGCTCCCCCGTCCCTGGGATTCTCCAGGCAAGAACACTGGAGTGGGTTGCCATTTCCTTCTCCAATGCATGGAAGTGAAAAGTGAAAGTGAAGTCGCTCAGTCATGTCTGACTCTTCGCGACCCCATGGACCGCAGGCTACCAGGCTTCTCCGTTCATGGGCTTTTCCAGGCAAGAGTATTGGAGTGGGGTGCCATTGCCTTCTCCGCCTGTGTACTAGAGATTCTCCCTTTTCTGGTTACTGTCTAGTTACCTTATGCTGTTTTATTTTCTTCTTATCTAAAATAAACATTTTTGTTCCTGTTTATTTCTTGTCTTGTTCTACTTAGAATATAAGTTCCATACATATGTACTTAGTCACTAAGTCTTGTCCGACTCTTTGCAACCTATGGACTGTTGCCCACCAGGCTCTTCTGTCCATGGGATTCTCCAGGCAAGAATACTGGAGTGGGTTGCCATTTCCTTCTCCAGGGGATCTTCCTGACCCAAGGATTGAACCAGAGTCTCCTGCATTGCAGGTGGATTCCGTACCACTGAGCCTCCATGGAAGACCTAAATTCCATGAGGGTGAGTATGTTATATAGTAAGATCACTTCTGTTTTGTAAGTGTCTAATGGTCATGAAGAAGTTGATACCCTCATACATTGCTGGTGGAAATATAAAATAGTGCAGCCACTTTGGGAAACTGGCTGTTCCCTCAAAATGTTAAACATAAAGTTACCATGTGCTGTGCTAAGTCGCTTCAGTCATGTCCGACTCTTTATAACCCATGAACTGTGGTCTGCCAGGCTCCTCTGTCCATGGGATTCTCCAGGCAAGATTACTGGAGTGAGTTGCCATGCCCTCCTCCTGGGGATCTTCCCAAGCCAGGGATCGAACCTGAATCTATCTTCTGCATTGGCAAGTGAGTTCTCTACCACTAGTGCCACCTTACCATATGACCCAGAAATTCCACACCTAGGTATATACCCAAGAGAAATTAAAACATGTCTACACAGAAACTTGTACACAGATGTTTATAGCAGTGTTATTCATAAGCAAAAAGTGGAAGCAACCCAGATGTCCGTCATCTGATGAATACATGTATCCATACAATCACATATTATTTGGCAATAAAAAAGGATGAAGTACTGATATATATACCACATCATGGATCAATCTCAAGAACATTGTGCTAAACAAAAGAAGGCAGGTTCAGAAGACCACACTTTGTATAATTCCACTTATGTGAAATACCTAGAATAGACAAATCTGTAGAGAAAGGGGCTCGATTATCGTTGTCTAGGACTGGAAGGAAGGAGGGAGGGGAACACAGAGGGATGGAAACTGATTGCTATTGTAGGTACAAGGTTTCTTTTTAGGATGATACAAATATCCTGAAATTACATTATGATGATGGTTGCACAACTCTATAAATATACTAAAAAGATTGAATTCTACTGTGTGGATGAACCTAATGGTTATGTAAACTATATCTGAGGAAAACTGTTAAAAAGGATTGAGGCAATTAAAAAATATGGAATATTTTGTCTACATTTTACACTTATCATTTGAATATTGAATATCTAAAAATAGAATGATTTAACACTGCAACTCTAGATAGCCCAGGAATGTAGCAAAGAGCTCAGTAAATAAAAGGTGAAGGAGGTTAAAGTATACGGATAATTATGATACAGCGCCTAGTGTGTTAAATGCCCAGAGGAGACTAAGCCAGGGGTTACAGCGGTTTGAAGGTCTCTAAAACATCAGGTCTGGGTTTGTGTGAAGGAAGTGGGGAAAGGCCTCTAGGGGGCAGCATTTGAGATTGACTTGGAAGGCTGGTTAGGCTTTGCTAGTAGAGGTGATTTGGTGGGAGGCAGGGCAATAAGGGGGGCTTCCCTGGTCGCTCAAACGGTAAAAAATCTGCCTGTAATGCAGGAGGCCCGGGGAATGGGAACAGCTTCCCACTCCAGTATTCTTGCCTGGAGAATTCCATGGACTGGCGGGCAACAGTCCATGGGGTCACCAAGAGTCGGGCACGACTGAGTGACTAACACTTGCACCTTTTTCAAGGCAATAAGAGGAAGCAAGCAGGAGCAGAGGTCCTTAGTAGCTGCTAGCACAGTCTGGCTGAATTGAATATGAGTTGTATTAAGAATGGACTAGCAGCAGTAGCAGTGTAGTAGCATAGTGTAAGACTGCAAAAATAGGCTGAGGTCTGTAGCAGACAGTGTCACTGGTGGCAGATCTCCTCTGATGTCTTCGTATCACCACCCGCCCCCCAACCATTAGTGTGCTTCTGATGGCTCACTCTTGGAAAGAGTTGTATCTCTTACCAGCAGAGAGCTGGAAGTGCTGGGGGCTTCTCCCTCTTCCACTAACAGCTCCCAGTATCGTTGGAGCAGGGACCTTGGCGCTTTCCCCTTCTCGGTGTCATCAACGCTTGAAATAGCATCTGGCACTCAGCGTTCAGAAAATACATGAATGAATAAATGAATGAAAAGCAGGAAATGGCAAGGTATATTCAAAGTGAAATTTATTTTGTAAATCCTCTTGACTTTTTTAATATTTATTTTTATTTATTTGTTTATTATATTTGGCTGCTCTGAGGTCTTAGTTGCTGCATACGGAATCTAGTTCCGGCATACGGAATCTAGCTCCCTTACTGGGGATCTAACGTGGGCTCCCTGCACTGTGAACGCAGTCTTAGCTGCTGGACCCGCAGGGAAGTCCCTCCACCTTGACTTGCAGAGCATTTTTTAGATAGGAGATTTTGAAAGATTCTGATTGTGAAGGCCCTTGGATTTTGGAGTAAGGAGTTTACTTAGCTGGAAGAAGGAAATTCTGATAATATGATGCGTGTTTTGATGAAATTAATTTGGCAGTAGTGAGCAAGATGAACTGGAGCGTGAAAGGATTGTGTCTGTGGTGTCCATATTGACCAGGATTGGGGAGGTCTTCTGCAGTATAGTAATAATCCAACAGCTTGCCTTGCCTCTGGTATCTCCCTCAATAGGGTGGTAGCAGTAGAATAGAAAAGATTAGATAGAAGAGGTACATTGAAAGAAAAATTTAAGATGTCAGAAAGGAAATACTCCTTAAAGAAATAGGAAAATTATGAAGTGTAGATTTTTTTTGAAGGGACAGTTTTTGCAATTGTTGATCAGACAGTAAAGTGTTATTGCTCACCTATGTGTGTGTCTTTTTGAACACTGAAATTGTACATTGAATTTGGAGATAAAATTACGACTGTGAGACTGCCACCCTGTGGATAATATAACTTAGAACTAAAATCCTAAAAAATTATAATAAAACTGCATTCATTTGAAGTTTACTGTTATAGAACTGATTATGATTCTTCCACATTGGTATATGTAGTTATGCTTCTTAAATAGAAAGTTGAAATTAGTTTGTTTTCTGAACTTTTTCTGTAGCTTTTAAATAAATGGAATGGAAATGAAATCAATAGCTTTAAAATGTTTCAAAGAAAGTGAAAAATGCCTTTTAGATGACATACTTTCTCTAGAAATTTAATGTTGAGTGTACTTTTATAAAATATTGTGGCATGTATGCCTATTATAAAATGGTATTTTTTATTGTATTTTTTGTTCTATTTTATTTGTATCTCCTTGAGAGTGATATTTCTTGAAAAATAGAATGCATACCCCATCCTTTTTTTCCCCCTAAGTGAAAGTGGCTTTCCCTTCTCATTTTTGTAGAGTTGGATTTTGTTAGAAATTAGCCATGCTTTGATGAATTGCCTTCATTGTATTTATGGAAATAACTTAGATTTTATTATTATAAGTTGTTAATCTAGAAGGACAGTCTGTTCACAAATTAAACTGGTAAGCTAGCTTGAATCAAAATAAAATGGTGATTGTGAAAAAATTGTTTGCTCTTTGCAACTCAGAAGGTTCTGTCTAGATTTCTGCAAAATAAAACTTTCCCAGCAGATGAGTTCTTTACAGCCTAATGTTGTAAAGTGCTTACACGCTTATTTTCCCTAAGGTGTCTGAAGCGCTGGAAATTTGTGTTAGCAATAAAGCAGAAGTGGGGTGACGCCTCATTCTGAGGTCACAGTCACACAACTTTCTGAACTGAAATCCAGGCTGAGGAAGAGACTGAATGGCACACCTGCTGAACCCCCTCACTTCAGGGACCTTAAGTGTTGGTCATGGTTAGACTTTCAAATATAATGTTAATGATGTTAAATATTCAGATATTTCTCAGTTATTTTTCTCAAAAGTGTAGTATATAACATACTTTCTGTTTTTAAATACATTTCTTATTTTTTTTTTTTAAATATACTATTTAGTTCTGGCTGTGCCAGGTCTTGGTTGCTGCCTGCAGGCTTTCTCTAGTTGCAGAGAGTGGGGGCTCCTCTTGCTGTGATGTGCAGGCTTCTCATTGCTGCGGTGGCTCCTCTTGTGGAGCGCAGGCTCTGAGTGAGTAGGCTTCAGCAGTTGTGGTGCAGGGGCTTAGTTGCTCCACGGCATATGGAATCTTCTGGACTAAGGATCTAACCCATGTCCTCTGCATTGGCAGGCAGATTCCTATCCACTGCGCCACCAGTGAAGTCCAGTAATGTACTTTCAATGTTTGGTTTCATTTAACCTTTTCAAAGTAAGTGGATGAGGTTGTGAATGACTTTTCCTAACTATTTTTTTTGCTGCATTTACATCTTTATATGCCCCAGTTGAGGTATACTGTGTAATTTTAAGTGAAATAGACTATTAATGATGAAAATACAAATGTTTAATCTAGGTCCCTAAGATATGTTACCATATAAAAAACAGTATTATTTAGATTTTGTTTAAGGAAAGTAACTTTCAAAATACTTGATTTTTTTTTTGTCTCCTTTCCTGAGTATTAGAACAAAGAGTCAATAAAATTAGAGAGCTATTTCTATTTTCTAACCTTCTTTATTGGTGTCATTATCATACCATTTTAAAAACCATGACCCTGAACTTACATAAAGAAAGTTTTAGTTTAATATTTAGCCTACACTTAAACTTTATCATGTGATATCTGTTGTGTGATATGGTAGAATGGTGATTGTTTTAGGATTAATGGTGGTTAATATTCTCTTTTAGTTTTTACTCAGAGTCGGATGGAGTGAGTGACTAGCACACTTAGTTTTTACACATGGGTTCATTTTCATAACTGTAAGTATAAAACGTTTTGTTCTTTGAAAAATAATTCCAGCATCGATGACTTAAATTTTGATGAAGCAATAACAACTGTTTCATAAGTTTTGCATGTTTTCTGGGTGTGTCTTTATAAATCTTAACATGTCTTTTATTTTTGAATGCAAACTGTTCACTATTAAATAGATACCTTTGTTTTGAAACTCTTTTTTTGCTTTATTTTAGATCTCTGGGGAGGTACTTAGCTAGTGACTTCTAGGTCCAGAGAGTCTTTTAGATAGCCTGAAATCTTTGTTGTTTAGTGACTAAGTCGTGTCCAACTCTTCTGCAACCCCATGGACTGCAGCCGTTCAGCCTTCTCTGTCCATGGAATTTTCCAGGCAAGAATGCTGGAGCGGGTTGCCATTTCTTTCTCCAGGGAATCTTCTCAACCAAGGGATT